TGAAAGGAGAAATATATGAGTGAAAGGCAAAAAAAGAAAAAAAGAAAAGCACTCACCCGTAAGTTCCTTCTCCAATCTGCTCCAATTTCTCGAAGCAGTCAACACTGCGAGAACCCCATGTCGGCGGCGACTCCTCTATGTTAAGCTGCCCGAGTGCCGCCATCTCTCTCTCTCTGAAAGAGAAGTGGTTATTGTAAGGACGAAGAAGATATTAGGAAACGCAAAGACAACAAAAAGTTGATCGGAAATTGCATGACCTTAGCGCCGCTGCGCGTGAACGAGTTGGCGTCCGGTAGGGTTCTTGTCGGCGACTCGCCGGCAACGCTGCAACTGGTTTTTTTTTTTCCCTGGTTTTAACGAAAAAGATTTTCTCTCTTCTTATATACGAGTTATAATTTGAATATAATAAAATAATATTAATTTAAAATTTTTATTTTAATAATTTTTTTAGCTAATTTATTTTTATTGCATATTTTCAATTAAATAATTATTTTAATTGTTAATTTTCGTAATTAAAATTTTAATTATGTTTAAATTTGTCTAATTTTAATTTGATATTTAGTTAATTAATATAACTGAAATAATTAGTTTTGTGTAGTACTTTAATTAGTCCATTAAAGAATTTTACTTTTATTTATAATAATTAATTAATTAATATAACTGAAATACATTACTTTTAATTTAGTAAATTAATCATTTAGATATAATTCTAATAGAATCTTTATTAAAATACTTTGTAGTATTTTTAATTAAATTTTTTATTTACTTATTATTGTAACTTTTTATTTAATATTTGAATATCTAAAGAGTAAAAAATAAAAAATAGTAAATAATAAATATAATATAACTCTTTATTTTATTTATTTTTTACTTACTATGTACTTAAAATTAATTTCAATTGCCCATTTAAAAAAATTTATCTCAAAAAATAAACATTCGTTTTTAAAATAAATTTCTCAATATTCTATTTTAGAAAAATTAATTTATCAATATTTATTCATGTAACAATATTTATAATCTCCAAATTCGTACGTAAGTATAATATGTATCAATATTTATTCATTTAAGATAATTAATTTATTTAGAACTATACATATTCATATTTTCTTACCATGAAGTATATTTCACGTCTCATGAGAGAAAATACTCTGTCAAATAATTACGGTTATAAATCAAAACTAAAAAGAAATTGACATAAACATTTATAAAAAGAATTTTCAGTATTACAAAGTCAAAATAGATGGTTGTTGAGGAAGCATACCGAAAATTTAACACAACATTGTATGATTTATCAACGTCAGCGGAAACTTAAATGATCAGAAAGTTTAAAATTTTGAGGAATTGATAAATCTGCTGATAGAATATAGTGTTTCTAATTGTAATGATCACGCTGTATGAAAGTGT